GGTGAGTTATCTTTAAAAATTATTTCTCAAAATTGAAAACTAGAAAACACGTTTGATTTGAAACTTTGAAAAAAAAAAATGTTTTACGATATTTTATTTCATGAAATTTGATTATTAAGCAAAAATAGAATAATTTATGTTACTATATTATCAAGTAACATACACATTTTAAAGTTGGTGAATCATAAAATATTTTTTTCTCGGTACAAGAGTAAAATAAAAATAATTAATAATTTGAGTTCAAAATATAGCAAATAAAATAAAAATTATTGACGTGAACTGACAATATTTTCATCTGCTTTGAATTAAATATATTTTTTAGATTTTTTATGTAAATAATTATTAAAAACTTGAACTATTTTTATTTTTTATTTTTCTAGAATCTTTTTATAATTTTACTTTTTCGGAATTTTAGATTTTATTTTTTCAAATTTTTTATTTTTTTAATAAGATTTTAAGAAATATAAATATAAAAGTTTAATTTTTACAATTTATTTAATAAAATTTTATTTGAGAACTTGTTTTTCATATATTGAGTGTTTTCAGAATTTTCACTGAAAACGCTCAAAATTTCAAAAATAAGTTTTGAGTTTTTGTTATAAGTTTATTCTTATTTTTGAAAATGCATTTGTAAAAATATTAGATGGCACATTTTCGATGTTTTGTAAAAATGAAAACATGTTGAAATCAGGAAACTAAACGCACCTTTAAAGTTTGGGAGTATGGTTATAAATGGATCGGATATAGACAAGATCTTTTTAGCATGTATGACATGAAGTAGAACTTGAAATTCTTGTACCTGTCTTGTCACAGTGTTGGAGTCTACTATTTTGCAGTCCAAAAACTTGCTGACAATGAATTTCTTATTTTCGGCATCATCGATCTTGTAATTATTTTTCAACGAATCTCATAAATCCTTAGTCGAGTCGATCGAACTATACACTCCATAAAGTGTATTGTCCAATCCATTTATGATGTAATTTTTGCAAAAGAAATTCGAATGCTTCCTTGCATCCAACGCAATAATCGATTCACGATTATTTTCTCTTTCTTGTACACCGGAGCACTTTCTTTTAGGAACTTTGTCAAATTCAAAGTAGGGATGGCAACGGGGCGTGTATGGGTCGAGGCATTCTTCCTCACCCTCGCCCCACCTGATACTTTTTCGCCCCATACCCATTTAAGTCGGGGACGGGTAGGGGGTGGGTCGGGGATGGTGCGGGGCGGGTCAATGTCTTTGCCCCATTTATCGCCCTGTTTACCTTTTCTTCACTATTTTTTAAACAAAAATCTAGATAAAATATTATTTTTATATAATTTCTATAAAATGACATAACTTTCCACTATCAGAAACAATTCCTTTTATATAATAAATCATGAATTTCATTTATTCAGAATAAAAGGAAAATATTCCTTCAAAGTTAACATGGTGTTTTTATCAATCATACTTCGACATAAAAAACTTCCAATGGCTAAAGAGGGAAATTCCCTTCAACAACAAATAAAATACGGAAAACTTCAATTAACATATAAAAGCATTGTAACTTATGTCATGTAGTCTTTGCACATGTGAATAATATTTTTAACAAGGCATTGTATGAAACTCAAAAAGTAACATTCAGATATTAGACACTAATTCTGATAAAATAGAAGTCTTTTCTTAAACGAAGAAATACTTAAAAGTAAACATAGAGCTCGAGAAACTTCACTACAAGATCAATAAAAAATAGAACAAATAAATAAAGATTCAAACCCAATTCAATTCAAGTAAAACAATAATTAAAACCAGTCAATTGTTGAACTATATTTTTACCGGTCATTGCAAACTCAATTCACGTGAAAAAGCAATTGAAGCATCTAAATCACTTCAATTGAAATACAAATAGAACAAACCTTCTACCGTGTAATTCGTCGTTAGTGGAAGTTGAAAAGAGAAGAATTGAATAAATTCTAATTTCTAGCGCCGCATGTGAATGATGAAATTGAAAAAATTCTCAACCCTTACCGCCTTAGTTATATTCTAAAATCTGTTTGTGTTAAATGGTTCTGGCTACTTTGGGTTATAACCTATAATGAGTCTTGCCACTTGGGAGTTGGGCTTTGGCCTGCCAACTTGTGACTTATTTGTATCAATAATGAATAATCATTTAATTAAAGTTTGTTTGGAATTTATGTTTATGAGTTTATCCTTGGATTAATCGGGGCGGGGCCATTGTTACCCATCCCAGAGACGGGGGTAATTTCCTTGACCTGTACCCGACCCAAAACCCGATTAAGCGGGTAATCCCCACCCTGTTTGAGGCGGGGCTCCACTGGTATCGGGTTTAACGGGTTTTTTTGTCATCCCTAATTCAAAGCAGTAAAATAAACTAACATATTTTGTTACCATCTTTTAAAATCTACACCTGCAATTTTTTTCGATTTTTTTCCATGTGGGATGTGAGAGTTTGATACATATATGGCCAAAGGCGAAACCACATGGTTCGTACTATTTGTTGTTTGATTCGAAATAGTCTCAACAGTATTTATTTTCGTTATAAACAAAAGTTCAATGTACAAAATAGTAAAAGAAATGAATAACACACAAAGGCTTATTCCAAAGATGAAGAAAGGATGTCCAACAACAACCACAAACAAATAATTTTGTCTTAAGATTGTTGGCAGATAGTATATTAAAATGGTTGTTTAGACAAATAAATATTTAAATTTAATTCGTAGGAGTGTAATTAAACTCTAAAAATGACAAGAAAGAAGGTAAGAAAAAGAAAAGAAAGTGAATAACGAAATCCGAGGCAAGTGAAAACAATTTTTTTCTTAAGACAAAATTGTCCCACAACGGTGTCAACGATTTACTGCACTTGTCTCCCAAGTTACAACGGAAACAATTTGTGGTAGGACGCACTTCAAACCAAAAGCAATAGCGAACTTTGAACGAAAATTTTCCCTCTACAAGAAAATGTTTTTGGAATGACATTTGGAGAGTATTTTGTAAGAGTTTTTGATGTAATACTCAATGCAAAATGATATGGATGCATAATGGACATCCAAATAGTCCTATTTATAGAAATGTCATACCCCAAACTCAACAACCTTCACGAAAGGAAGCATCACTTGTTGTTGCTAGCCTATTGCCAACGTCTCGCTCGAGCGACACTGACATATTCAACGGAACCTCTCTCGCTCACCTATTGCTAGACTATTGCTCGAGCGAGATATGGAGTTGGGCATTTATTCCCATCAATTTTTCTTCTTTTCTATCCAATTTTGGAGTGCAATTTCTCATTCATTCGAAATTAGTTTGAAGATTTCAAATATATCACGACAATCTACTCAACGAGTAGAACAAGTTAATCAATTTATATTTATAATTTGACTATCGGATCAAGTCCGAATATTTGACCGAAATTGATACAAAGTCATTTTTTTAAGTTGTATACTTAGCTAAATTTTTATTCTCTAAATCAAATTTCAACAGCTTTATGATTAAACTCGTATGACCTTGACAGTTAATGAAGTCGTTTTCCCTTTCTTTTCCCTTGTCAGAAGTGTGTAAATTGTAAAGTATTAGGGCCACATCTTTTTCTAGAAAGGGAAAGGGCTTATTTAATTAACCAGTGAGGGTTCTTGTAGTCATGCATATATGCACATTATGCTTCCCTTTTAACTTGATTTCTGTGTCCCACACCAATCAACATATTGAAGAAACCTGATCTTGGAGTGGGGGACCTGAGGGTGCCCTTTTACATGAACTAAAGGGCTATTTGATCACAATTATTACTTGTACATAAGAAGTTAAAAAAAGTCTTACAGATAGATGAAGTGTTAAAAGAGTGTAGATGTTTTATTTTATTTGTTTAGAGAAATTCTAACTCAATCATATCTTATTACATCATGCGTATGTAAGTGATGTGCATGTAATACAGCCGTCAACCGATGCATCTATGATTCCATGCATTTCATATGCATGTATCTCTCACTTTGAGTGCCAAAATCAACTTATCTCTGAGTATTCAATACTCAACATCTTACTTGTAGTCCTTGTTTGAGACTCATTTTGAGAGGGGAAAAAATACATTTTTGAATAGTTATCTTTGGAAATTGTGGTTAAAAATGAAGAAAATGTTTTTGATTTACGTGTTATATTATTTTATTGGAGAACGTGTTGTTGGAAATGTGCCCCAATTTGACAACTTTTAATTTAGTTTTTGTTACAAGATCATTTTCAACCACATATTCGCATAATAAAATATTCTACACGTAAACCGTAACTTTTCCATCATTTTCAACCATATATTCTTCAAAAAATACTATTCAAAACTATTTTTTTACATTTTAAGGCCATAAAACAGGACCTGAGTTTTGAAAAAAATGATTTTTTGATAGAATGGGGCTCAAAGAAGGGTTTATTTTCCTTCCATGTCCGACCTCCCTACTACTAACAAAGAGGACTAAATGCAAAAACTTGTTAGCTTAAGCTTTGTTCAAAATTGCTTCAAACGATTTCTTCTTATTTAAGTTTGTTAAATAAAGCAGTTCAGGTGCAATGAGCAGATAAATCTCGCGATAAAGAACAAAATTTCGAATATTTTACATAACTTAATGCATAATGACACAGCTTATAATAGGGTTGTTAAAGTTCCAATGGCTTTAGATAGTAAAGGATTTTTAATAAGATTTAAATAAAATTTACTGGTTTTGATGATGCTGAAAGCAGGAGGATATTGATCTCATGGAGAATCTTGGTGTAAACAGCTTCCGGTTGTCTATATCATGGACAAGGATTCTGCCCAGTACATTTTGAAATTTGCATTTGAACAGACAAAAGTTCCTGCAGTATATTTATTTTGTTCCTTTCATCACTAACGAGAAATGAACCGAACAAGTGGCAGAAGAGATATTCATGTGAAGGACCTTAAATATTTTTCCTTAACAATTGTTTTTCCACTGACTAGTTTTTACTAATTAATTCTGAAACAGAGGGGAGATTTGGAAAAGTGAACATGGCAGGTATCAATCGCTACAATAAGGTCCTTGATGCACTCCTTTGCAAAGGTTATCTACTTTGCTTACTGGAATCATATAACCCTGATAGGTATAGGTTTGAAGTACAATAACAATTCCATTTATGGTTTGTTTGATGAGCCGGAATATACAGTATAGTACAAAACAGAACTCAAGAAGAAAAAGAAGTTAAAATCTTATCGATTTTACTATAGGGTCTGTTTGAAAAGACTTTTACTTCTTATAGTATAGTAAAAAAAGATCTTTCAGAAAATTATTCAAACATGTTAAAAATCAGCTTTTTAGACTCAAAAGTCGTTCTTGGCTAATCAAAAGTCCCGTCAAATGGGCTCGCAATATTGTTTAGCTCTATGCACCAAACATGCATAATTGACACTGTTTGGATAATTTCATTTGAGTCATGTTACTTGTACAAAGTTAGGTTATAAAATTGGTTTACAAAATATGTGTTGGCAACATCTTGACCAATGATTTAAAAAATAGTTTTTGAAATCAATGACTTAGATCTTGCCACATCATTTTGTCAACACACTTTTGTAAATCACCTTTGTACAAGTAGTATAATTGATTTCATTTTCAGGGATACAACCATTTGTTACATTGACTCACTATGAAATCCCTCAAGAACTTGAAGAAAGAAATGGAGCATGGCTAAGCCCAAAAATACAGTAAGCTGCATTTTTCTTCATCGATTGAAACATATCAGCTTTTCGGAAGGAAAAATAATGACGCTTTTAAAAACTATGTATACATTCTGCAGGAAAGATTTTGAATATTATGCAGACATGTGCTTCAAATATTTTGGGAAACGAGTTAAATACTGGATGAACTTCAATGAGCCTAATGTAATGGCTGTTCGAGGATGCAGATCAGGAATATATCCTCCTTCTCGCTGCATTGGTTCATTTGGTAACTGCAGCAAAGGCCATTCTGAGAAAGAACCTTTAATTGCTGCACATAATATGATCTTGTCCCATTCAGTTACTGTCGACATTTACGGATTTACCGGACTAAATACCAGGTTGTGCACGAAACTTTCTATGTGCTAAAATAAAATAACATCGATTTCAGAATAAATTATGGAAAGATCTCATTGTATACTATATTTGCATGTTTTTTGGTCAATATTCAGAAAGAACAAGGCGGTAGCACTAGCATTGGAATTGTTATGAATGCCATCTGGTACGAGCCCTTCAGCAATTCTAAGGAGGATATATCCGCAGCTCAGCGAGCTCAATCTTTCTACGTGAATTGGCAAGTTTCTTGTCAAGATGGATTGTACAACATTGGGAAATACTAAGAAAGAATAAGTAGTTAAAATCTTGTCTACTGTAGTGTTTGATGCCCTATTTACTCAAAATCTAAAATCCATGAATTGCAGGTTCTTGGACCATATAATAACTGGAAAGTATCCTCAAGAAATCCATCAGATTCTGGGATCTTTATTGCCTGTATTTTCTAGAAAATATCTCAAGAAATTGAGAAATGGATTGGATTTCATAGGTATTAATCATTGTACAAGTTTCTACAGCAAAGACTGATTGTACTCTGAATGTGAATCTGGGGCAGGAATCTCCATGTCTGAGGGTTAATACTCTAAGAACTGCCCTTAAAGATTGTGAATTTATCGGTGAATCTGTAAGTGAAACTCAATCATCGGCTTAGTCATATTACCTCAAATTAGCCTTTTTAGTATTAGTAAATCTGCCAAAATTGTTAGATATTATTCTAAAAGACTGCAGTAGATAGGCTATATGAGTACCCTCAAGGAATGGAGAAGATCGTAACATACATAAAGGACAGATACAACAATACTCCGATGTTCATCTCCGAAAATGGTAAAACAAATAAGCTTGATAGAACTTTTAGAAGTCGTTTCGAAAGTGCTAAAATGAAAATCTTGCTGGGTTTGGCTCTCTCAACAAAGTGAATTCATCCCTCAATTATGTCGAAAGAGTGGAGTAAATGAGTTACTATTTGGAATCCTTGGCTAAGGCAATAAGGTATTTTAATTAATCCAAAAAAGAAAACAAAGAGCTCGTTGGTCCTTCTTAAAAGTGTCTTTCTAAGTACTTATTTGGACACTATGGGCCGTAGGGCTTCTGCTGCTTCTTGGAGAAAAACTTGCGAAGAAGTCACCTTAGACCAGTTTTCTCTAAAATCTCTTATATTCAAACAAAACACTTACATAAAATTATTCAAACAAATTCAAAAGTAACTTCTTAATTTCAAAAACAACTTTTGATTTTTCAAAAACATTGTTAAACGATCCCCGTTCACCAGCATGCTATCCAAAAAAGTTCAAAAAAAAAAGTGCTATATATTTGTGAATTTGTGCAGAAAAGGAGCTGATGTGAGGGGCTACTTTGCATGGTCATTGCTCGAAAATCATCAAGAATGGAATCCATGCAATGAAGTATTTTTTATTGAGTCTCAATACAATTTTTTAGGGCGAATTTCCAAAGAAATAGGTTTGGGAAAACATAATCGAGTCGAATGAATGACTGGATAAATAAATATCCGTAATTTTATCAACTTCAATAATGGAATTTTTGTCCTTTATTTGTCTTGTAAAAGGTGCAAATCCCTAATTATTGATATCGTATTAGCAATTCTTTTATTGCAATTTGTATAATATTCCATTCATATCACGGTAGCTTAATCTCTACTTTTTTAATTTCAGAAATATTTTAAGGTTTTGTTGCCCAACTCCCCCACTTACCACAAAGGTTTTTGGAAATTATTTGGTAGCTACAGTAATATCGAATAGACTTGAAGCTATCCTCTTGTCGATGTCAAAAATGACGTGATTTTTTTTTTTTTAATCAATTTTTACAGATTTAAATGAAATAAAAGTGCAATAATGATAAAATTTGATAATTGTAGAGAGAGAATTTGTTTGTTTGGATTATATGAGCTCATGAATTCAGGCTTGTTTGTCCTGGTCATGTTGAGTTACGTGTCATCGCCCATTTGAAGAAATTTTGCCCTTATTTTTTATCTCCATTTTTCTTAAAAAATACATTTTTTTCGACAACATATTTTTCGATAAAATAATATTACACGCAATCCAAAAGCTTTTCATTCATTTTTAATCATAAATTTTCCATCAATCTACTATTCCAAAATACATTTTACGTCAAAAAATTGGGTTCAAACAAGGGAAGAATACATAAATCATGAATAAAATTTGATAATTGTAGAGAGAAAATTTGTTTGTTCGGATTATATGAGCTCATGGATTCAGGCTTGTTGTCCTGATCATTTCAAACTACAATATTTTGGCCTAGAGTTACGTGTCATCGCCCATTTGAAGAAATTTTGCCCTTATTTGATCTCCATGTTTTTTAAAATACATTTTTTTCGATCACATATTTTTCAATAAAATAATATTACACGCAATCCAAAAATTTTTCCTTCATTTTTAGCCATAAATTTTTCATCAATCTACTATTCCAAAATACATTTTACGTGGTAAATTCAATTGCACCAAGTTATGATGACACTTTGGGCTTGGACCATGATGTCATCTTCCTAATTGGTTGGTATGAATGGGACAATATCAAGTGGGAGCATTTTCTTGATAATTTTATTAAATGACATCTCGCATACGTCGACTCCAACCTCTATCAACAGGCTATTTGGTCAAGGTACCAAACTAACATGTATGAACTCTTCAACAAGTAAGTTTTTTTTACCGAGTCAAGAACAGCTCTCAACTTATCCAGCATCGATTTAAGATCGACAACAATCCAAGGTCTGAGTTCTGCCTTTTAAGATATCGAACCTTCAGAGGATGGTGGAAAACACGTATTCTCGTGCATGAACGACACGAAGATAATTTTCGTATTTTTCATAAAACACACAATTTACTATATTTTCATATATGACTCACGGCTTATGAACATTTAAAAACACTAACAAACGAGCACTTAACTTATGTGCTCGACCATAATGTTATACACAAATATTTGAAGTTAACTATTTACAATATATTATAAAAATATAATCTATAAATACATAAATTTGTCATCATGGGTTTGTTGGTTCCAACAAATTCTAAACCGGCCTCCTTTTAAATTTGGAGGTCAAACCACTAACCCCGGGGTTTATTTTTTGAATACGCGTCAAAAATTAGTCAATTTGGGGGTTGGTATACCCAACTTTAGACACTGTCAATTGCAATCCGATTATACCCTGTTTGGTAACTATTAAAATAAATATTTTAATTTAAGTTAACGTCAACCATTAATTTTAACCATACGTTACATTAATTTTTATCAAAATCTAATAAAAATCTAATTTTAATCTCTATCAAATGGGGACATAAGCCCGTTAGGACTAGTTCAGGGTTCAGTCCAATTCGAATTTTGTGCTTATACTTGTAGAGTTCGTAAACTTTTACAAAAAAATTTATAGACTTTAATTTATGAAAATGTTTCGTAGATTTACATAATTTTTTATAGACACTAGATTTCTATTTGAAAATATTTTCTTAAAATTATTGCATAATAATCAATTGAAAAGGCATCCCTGCTCGTCATGATTACAAAATCATACGTTTTCACGGTTGACCATTTCACACGCACAAAAAAAAAAAAAACAAAGGAAAAAACTACCTACGAGAAAGAAATAAAAATAAACAGTTATAAAATATTAATCTTTATAGTTGAAATTCATCGATAAACTAACAATTTAAAAAAATGTTTATATTTAATACGTCCCAAATCTTTTACTTCAAAAATGTCTTCTAAAATTAAATACATCCCTAAAGCTAAATGGTGTCTTATCATTTTACGAGAGGCAAGATTTTTCGATTTTATTTATTTTCTTAGAACTTTTTTCAATTTTATTTTTTCGTCATTTTTCACGTGTCAAGTTGTTCATTTTCAACTTTAATTTCTTATTAATTCAAAATTGATTTTCAACAATCAAATATCCTAACTTCAAACCCAAATTTTCAACAAATTGTAGCTCGAGGGATTCACCTACAATCCATTTGTATGTTGAAATCAAAATTGGCGTAAATTACACTTAAAGAAAGAAAAGGAGTTGAAGTTTTCAAACTTGAGGAAAATGTTATTAAAATAAAGATTCGATTCATATCATTATGAATTAAAAAGCTCTATATTTTAAGTCAAATCAAAATATATATAGGAAAAATCGGACTATTTGGAGGATATATTCAAACTAAATCCAATGACCTGATAATGTTTTTATCACTTGTATTCGACCTTGTCTATTACAAATATTTATTTGCGAAGGAGAATACAATCAGTGTCGAAATGTGACAAAACAAAATGAACTTTAATAAAATAAAATTTTCCATCGAGCTGTATCTTCGGGAGGAAATCATCTACGACCCCTTCGCACGTTTAAACCAAAATTGGTGCAAATTACGCACAAGGAAAGAACACGAAAATTTTTGGGAATTTTTATTAATAGACCATTATTATCATGATGACTTAGAGCTCTACTTTTTGAATTATATAAATATTTTAAACTTTTTAAACTATTGCAATTTGCAGGACCCCACAGTTTCACCAACCCCCAGTTCTGTATGGATGTGTACGACTTGATTTTGATATAAAGGTCGTGTTTTTTTTTTTTCTTTGTGTTTGAAATGACTACCAAAGTTTGACAATAGTTTCTTAGGTAAATGTAACATGAAATGAACTTAGTCATTTTTCTTATCTAATAACCGACTAATACATGTCATGTCATGACCCATTTTAGCGTTTTCTTTTTTCTGTTAAATCATCATGAATGAGTTTGCTTGCAATGAATAAAATTTAGGGATAATTGCAACAGCGATACTAAATTTTTCATTTAGTAGGAGACTTTGTCCAGACCTTTCATTTGTGTCACACACGGTATCAAACCGTGGGGTAGGGATGGAGAAGAAGAACGTTGAATGAGTTTTTAATTTTAATTATTTGATTTTTGTTATTTTATTATTAAAAATGTAAAATTATCATTTTAAAATTTTTAAAATCAGTCAAAATTATTGTCAAAGTCAATTATTTGATCAACTAAAGGTCAAACTAACAGAAACTATCTATTTGGACTTCAGCTGTGACATTTTGAAAGTTTGGTACCGTGGGTGGCACGAGTGAAAGGTTTGGACAAAGTCTGCTACTAAATGAAATGTTTGGTACCGCTGCTGCAATTATTTCTAAAATTTATTGTCTTAAAGTTACTTGTCTTAATTGGAATTTTATTCTCCACTAGTCAGAGTTCACATTATTCTGAATATTTTATAAATATTGTAAAAGTAATATTTCATACTAATTTGTTAGGAGGATTTGTTGAGTCTCAAATGAACTAAAGAAAATAGAATTTAGGATAGAAATTTAAGAGAAGAAAATTGTACTTTCAAAACTCAACTTTTATGATTCAAATTTTTTGTGATGATGAAATATCATAAATGAGCAACATTTTTATGCTACATTTGGTACATAAGAATTACTTAATCCGTCTCATTTATATAGGTTGGTTTTATTTTTCACACGGATTAAGAAATATTATTTAATGTTATTGA